TTTGTGGTTACCAGAGAGATGAGGAGTGGGTTGGAGGGCAAAATGGTGAAAGGGGGTCAAATGTATAGTGACAGGTGGAAACTAGACTTTTGGTGGTGAGCACACCATAATATATAGAGATACTGGATTATAATGTTGTACACCTGAAGGTTATACAATGTTATTAACCAACGTTACCTCAATTTAAAAAATGTTTTTAGTTAAATAAATAAAATGACTTCCAAGCATTGTACTGAAGTGCTGTCTAGTATTCCTAGGTGCACGAAGGCTGTGATGTGCCTTACCGAGTAAATGTGTGCCCTTGATAAGTTTCAGATGAGTTACAGTGCTGTTGTCCGTGAGTCCGATGTGAATAAATCAGTAATATCTATTAAATAAGGTGTCCTTAAATGAAAACATACATAAAATAAGGTTATGTATTAACTCATTTACAAAAACATTGTGACCACAGACTGGTAGGAACCAAGCCCTGTATTTTCCCCTAGGAGCAATGTTTCAGTATTGCTAATGCAGTGCTCCCACTGACTTTGTAAAACATAACTACTGTGAATAGCAAGAATCAACTTAGTCAGTGGTAAAGAAGTGTATGATGAAAGAATAAAGAACAGAAGACATCTGGTTGGAAAAAATGACATTAACAAATGAAAAGCTGCTTCATGAACCCACATGAAGGCAAACATATACAAAGAGAATTTTATGTTGATACTAGAGGCCTGGTGCATGAAATTTGTGCACTCGGGTGGGGGTGTCCCTCAGCCTGGCCTGCGCCCTCTCGCAGTCTGGGAGCCCTCAGGGAATGTACAACTGACGGCTCCTACAGGGAGTGGGCCTAAACCAGCAGTCAGATATCCTTAGTGCTGCCATGGAGGCAGGAGAGGCTCCCGCCACCACCGCTGCACTCGCCAGCTGTGAGCCCGGCTTTTGGCTGAGCGGCACTCCCCCTGTGGGAGCACACTGATCACCAGGGGACAGATCCTGCATTGATCGCCTGCCCCCTGGTGGTCAGTGCACCTCCTAGTGAGCAGTTGAGCGGCCTTAGCATATCATTAGCATATTACACTTTGATTGGCTGAACGGCCAACTGGACAACCAGACACTTAGCATATTAGGCTTTTATTATATAGGATAATAAAGAGGTGCCAGATTATGTAATACAAGCAGAAATAGACTGCCATATAATAAGGAGAACATACAAAAGGGATAGGTAATAAATATACATTTTTTTATTCAATGGAAAGAAAATGTTCTGTGATAATTTCTTTCCAAATGAATGATTATTATGCAAATTCAAGCATATCTGACTGCCCTGAATTTAACACTCCATAATAACTTTACTCTTTGTATCTCATTGAGCACATCAAAAATCTGCATGTCTTATATTTGCAAAAAAATATAATAGTACCACATTTTTTAACCACGGGAGTTTTCAAGGGCTCATTACAACTCTCTTCCAAATTTTTTATTATTAAATTTGTTATTATCAAATAACAAAGCATTATTGTGTCCACTTTTAAATAAAAATGCACTGGAATATTTATCTGTGAGCTCTTCATAAAGCAAGGAAGAATTTGTTTAATCTTCCGCTTGACTTTATACAGCAGTTTCTACACTGTTGCATGATGGGAGAGGACCTGACCTGCCAGTTCTTTATCCATATGATTGTGGTAAAAGCAGACATAACATTATGGCTCAACAGAACAAAGATGAGCATACAAAGTACATGGTTTAAATAATTCCAGAGCTTTTGGACACAGATCTCTTTTTTCAAGACACAAATCTCATGTAACCATAATCATGATTGGTGGTGGAGAATTTTAAAAACAGAATCTCCCCTAAACCCTCCAGACTTAGTTATACCACAGCTAAATCAGGTGATTCCAACACATGATTCACATCCCACAAAAAAATGGAATGTTTACAAAAGCAAGGCTCCCAAAGGACAAAGTAGCCTTTTCTCAAAATCCATCCAAATTTTAAGACAATCTTTCTATGTTTTGACATAACTACCATGTTTCCTATTCTAAAATAAAAGGTTCATATAAACACACAGTTTTCACATCTAAGTATCAGGGTTCTGACATACATTAAATGCAACTTTGCCTTAGTAGATTAGGTCATGAATCAAGTCTATTACTATAGTGATATGTACATACATATAATTTTTTATTATGGAAATTTTCAACTATACACAAAAATGTCAGAAGAAATAGTATAACAAATTCCTATGTACCAATCACCCAGCTTCAGAATTATTAGAGATGTTAGGGATTATGTTTTCAAATACAAAGAAAAGATTACACACCATCCTACCTTGTCCTGCCTACACCTGCAGCAAACAATAACATCACCACCCACACTGAATGCTTTGCAGAATATGAGCTATTTGATCTGCAAACATATTTAATTCCAATCTGAGATGACTAGGGCTAGTAGCTGCACAGAGCAATTCTCCTAACTCCCTTGTATAATGCAATTGATGCTAAAAATTCATGTTGACTACTTAAAAATCTGATTTTTAAATGTTTTATTTTACTATTACAAAGCTAATACATTTTCATTTTGTAAAATTGGCAAATACAATCACAAATTTGCATATGGATGGCTATTTTATGATATTATAAAATAATTGCTTATTTTCTTTATTGTGATAATGGCCTTTGGGTAAGTAGGAATATTACTTTATTTTTAGGAGATACATAATGAAGTATTTGAGAGAGAAATATTATAATGTCTGCAATTTGCTTTCAAATGGTTCAGCAAGATTGTGTGTGTATCTGTGTGTGTGTCTGTGTGTGTGTGTCTGTGTGTGTGTGTGTGTGTGCAGATCCTGGGTTGGCAAATTATTTTCTGTAAAGGGCCAGATAGTAAATATTTTACACTTTGCAAACCAAAAGACAAAAATAAAAAATATTTTTTAGATAGCTGTATAACCAGTTAAAATGTTGTTGCTTAAAAATTTAAAAACCCTTCTTAACTGGGTCTGTACAAAAACAGGTGATGGGGCCCTGGCCGGGTAGCTCAGTTGGTTAGAGCATCTTCCCAATATGCCAAATTGAGGGTTTGATCACCACCTGGTTAGGGCATATACAAGAATCAACCAATAAATGCATAAATAAGAGGAACAACAAAATCAATGTTTCTCTCTCTTTCCTCCAAATCAATTTTAAAAAACAACAACAACAACAACAAAAACAGGTGATGGCCCAGATTTGGTCTTGGTGATAGTTTGCCAACTACCAATGTAGACAAATGGATAGAGATAGACAGATAGACCATCCTCATCCCAGCTTTGTGGAAAATTCACCAAAGTTGCTTTAAATGTTTTCCTTTAATTCTACTGCCCTCTAGTGTGGAGGGAAAAGAATTCTGTACTCCATAAAAAAAAAGAGAGAGAGAGAAAGTGTGTACTATTTGCTTACTTATCTGGATTCAAAGCCTGTTTTACTGCAGAATAAATTTTGAAAACTATACCTACCATGATCTTCTTGCTTTACTTTGGATGAAATAAATTTCTAATAAAAACAATATTTTTATCAGTCTTCACCCGGAGACTATTATGCTAAGCGAAATAAGCCAATCAGAGAAAGACAAATATCACATGATCTCACTTATATGTGGAATCTAACAAAATAAACTGATGAATAAAATAGAACTAGTGGCATGGAAACATGGAATCTCAGAGAGAAGGGTGGGGGTGGTTAAGAAGAGGTTAACCAAATAACTTTTATGCATATATGCATTGCCCATGGACACAGACAATAGGGTGGTGAAGACCTGTGGGGTGGAGGTGGGAATTGGGTGGAGGTGAACAATGGGGGCAAGTAAGGGGGACATCTGTAATATTTGCAAAAATAAAGATTTTTTTTTAAATACTTCAAAAATTAGACTGTATTTCACATTACCCTAGGTGATAAGGCTTGGTTTACCCAGAGACCCTCTCACAAAGGACTCCTCCAGCTGCTCCTTTCACTACAATTGAGTACTCAGGTCTTTGGCAAAGTGTGACAGGTTAGAAAGAGGAAGGTAAAAAGAGGAAAATAAGGAGAAATTCAAAGGAAAGAGGAAGAGAATAAGACAGGGGTGTGTGTGGATGATAGGAAAAAATAATAGACTAAAAAATGGAGTACAGAACAAGAAAAAGAGTGAAGAAGAAAACCACACAATGTTAGAACAGGAAGCCCAGGAGTCAAGAAAGAGAAAAACAAGGGGGAAATGTCAAGGATCCAAGGTAAAAAGAGGAAAGGAAAGAAATGAGAAGGCAATGAGTTGTGCTGGTCAGTTGGTTGTTCATTGATTCACCTGAGGAGGAACCACCAGGCCAGGCCCACACACCTTGGGCAGTTTGCTCAACCCTTCCAGTCCCCCACATCCCCCCACCACCACCCCACACAGCCACTGCTGCCCACCCTGTTGTGTTCTTTCCCTAGTGCTCACAGCCTTCTTTTTCACAGGATTATTGGTTTATTTGTTATGCGAAAGTGTAAGCTCCAAGAGGACAGAGAATTTTGCTTCCTGCCACCACCTGCCCCCCGCCCCCCGATTTGTGCACTGGTGTATCCCAAATGTCCAGAGCAATGCCTTGCACATATATGACATGCATTTAATAAATATTTATTTAATAAATGAAGGAATGGTGAGGGCACCTCTAGAAATGGACGAAAAGATGTATTTGCAATGTTTGTTTGGCTGTGTGTTAGGGTTGCTGAAGGATGTTGCACAAGGCCAAAAGGGGTAAAGAATTATAAATTTATTATTACATCTGCTAGCAGAAGGGCTGAGACCAAAATGGCATCAGTGGGGCAGAGTAGGGGGAGCAGGATATTTATGTGTCTTGTAAGGGTCAGTGAAATGGATGAAAAGATGTATTTGCAATGTTTGTTTCGCTGTGTGTTAGGGTTGCTGAAGGAGGATCGCAGGAGGCCAAAATGGGTAAAGAATTATAAATTTATTATTACATCTGTTAGCAGAAGGGCTGAGACCAAAATGGCATCAGTGGGGCAGAGTAGGGGGAGCAGGATATTTATGTGTCTTGTAAGGGTCAGTCAAGGTAACCAGGCGCAGGTGGAGGCCAGGTGGAGGTGGTCCACTGGAAACTAGGTGAGGCGGTTTACTGGAAGTCAAAGTACAGGACAATCACCAGAAGGGGCGAGAGCCCCAAGCAGAGCATGATGGAGGGCAAGAATGTGCCTAACACTGTGTGATTGTGATACCTTTTCTCCTGGGCACAGCACATTTTCATTTGCAGGCTGCCACCCAGTTTTTAACATATATTTCTGTCTATAGACTGAATCTTGTGTCTCCCCAAAATTCATCCATTGAAACAAATACCCAATGAGATAGTATTAGGAGACGGGGCCTTTAAGAGGTGCTTAGGTCATGAGGTGGAGATGAGATTAATGCCCTTATAAAGAGACACCTAAGACAGAGACCCCTTGCCTTTTCCTCTATGTGAGGACACAATGACAGAGGGCCCTCACCTGACCATCCTGATCTCAGATTTCCAGCCTCAAGAACTGTAAGAAATACATTTCTGTTGTTTATAAGCCATCCAGCCTATGGTATTTTGTTATAGCAGCCCAATTGGCCTAAGGCACTTCGCTTCTGAGGAGATAAGCACTTCTTAGAAACCACTGGCTATATTTCCACTCAAGTCAACATTGCTTCTGAAAGTCAGATTCTGACATCAGAAGCAAAGATATCGATAGGAACCATGCAATTCTAGAATCAAGTGACTTTTTTGAAACCACAAACTACAGAACATATAGATCCTCACTTCAGGCTAAATCATGGAAAGGAAGTTCTAGAGCCAAATAAAGCAACTTATAAAAGGTTGTTTTCCTTTCTTTCTATTGCCTTTTCTGTTTCCCAGCCCAAATAATGTTCCACTCAATCCTCAACATTACTCACTAGATATTTTACAATGAACATCCAATGACAGTCTAAAATACTTCAAATAATGCAAAGGCAGCAAAACAAAAACGCCCAAATTTTAACATGAACTCACCTCCATGATTGCATTTCCAAAGACAGGCTGAAATCCTTTGACCTTGGTCAATTAACGTAGGAAGACATTAAGGTTTAACATTTTCTCCTTCTCAGATTTGCTGTATCAGAGGAATCTTCTTCTCAAGTACATAGTCCTGAAAGCAGAAAGACAGTGGATCATGGATCCAGTATCACAAAAAGAGCTTTTAGGAACAAGCCAGAGGTTTGAGGTACCATCAACAAGCAAGCTTCCAATGGCAGTGTCCTGAGAGAGGAGCCATTAAAATGGTACCCAGTGACTGACAAGCACTCCTGTATCTCCTTCTTGAATGCTATAACTCTGCTTCTCACCTGAGTAAAAGAATCTATTCTACATTTTCCAGTCCCCAGCTCTGTGCTCAGGAAGCTGCTAGGACTGTCTATGCATTTCAGGCCATTCCCAGCACTATTGGTGCAATGGGTACCCGCTGCCACATTGAGGCTCTAGCTAAAATTACCATAAAGAACAATCAGTGAGAACCACAATGGCGGCGTAGTCAAATGCCTGAACTCGCTGCCTCCCAGCACCACACCAAATTACAACTAAAATACAGAACAACCATCATCCAGAACTGCTGGAAATCTGGCTGAATGGAAGTCCTACAGCTAGAGACGTAAAGAAGAAAGCACACGGAGACTGGGAGGAGAGGCAGAGGCATGGAATGGGCCGGCCCGGCATCCACCAGTGCCGCTTTTTTAATCAGGAGGGAGATCACCTCTGCAGAAGGCGCCGGGAGGAGCAAGTGGTCCCAGCCCCACACCAGACGCCCAACCCAGGGTCCTAAAGCTGGGAAAAGAACTCCCTACGGGCAGTAAGAACTATGTGCTGTAAAAACCAGTGCAGATTGGGGCTCAGTGACACTGAGGCTGCTGGAGATCAAGTTGCTCCTCTTAAAAGGCTAGCACACAAATTGAACTTACAAGATCCTGCTTCCTCTGAGCTCTAGCACCAGGACGAGGCTCTGGGGGACCCAGACACATACAAGGAGAAACTGGACTGTCTGGCATCGGGGAAAGAACTCAGAGGCACTCGCAGTGGTCATTGTTCCCATGCTGGGACCTCCCCAGTTGCAAGGCTGACTGGAAGCCATTTCTGTTTGCTCCGTCCTGGTGATTCCCTGAGACCCTGCCCCACCCAATTTACAACCCCACCCAAGCAGTGTGCAGCAGCTTTTGCATATGAATGGCCTGTCCTTTCTCAGGCTGAAACCTGTCAAACAAGCTGCAGCTGGGTCAGGGAGCCCAAAACCTATCAATAAAAGGCTCAAGACCCAGCATCAGCACCAGCCTGCCTTGCTTCACAGCTGGGCCTCTTCTGGGCACTTCCAAACCCAATACAAAGAGGAGGAATCTGGCCGAAACTGGTTTGGCTCAGTGGATGAGCGTCGGCCTGCGGACTGAAAGGTCCCAGGTTCGATTCCGGTCAAGGGCATGTATCTGGGTTGCGGGCACATCCCCAGTAGGAGATGTGCAGGAGGCAGCTGATTGATGTTTCTCTCTCATCGATGTTTCTAACTCTCTATCTCTCTCCCTTCCTCTCTGTAAAAAATCAATAAAATATATTTTTAAAAAAAAGAGGAGGAATCTGCAGATCTCTCTGTAGCTCCTGCTGGGTGACCCGAGGCAGTGGTGGACTTTGCACCTCCTTGGAGACCCCAGAGCCAGTGTCCCCAGTGGTCAGTGTCAGACCATACCAGATTACAACTCTACACATCCATAAATGACACACTCAAGGAGCAGATTCAGTGAGCACCAAAGCCCCACTGAAGCAAGTCCTACTCCATAAGGGTGTCTCTTGCACAATAGCTCTCCCTCTATAGGTGCAGCTGGTCCCCACAGCCAATGGCCTGGAGGCCAATTCCTCCCAGTGACACCAACAG